ATTGTTATTATTATTGTTATTATTATTATTATTATTATTATTATTATTATTATTATTATTATTATTTGTACATAAATATTATTTGGTGAAAAATTACTGCTTCGCTTCCAACGAATAATATTTTACCATTTTTCCTAAGCATTCATTAACAGAAACTCTTTTTTGAGGAGTTAAATGAAGCAAACAAGTTGAGGAAGCAAATGGAAGAGCAACTGGAAGAATCAGAAAGTATCAAACAAAAAGTAATAAAAGAAGCGGAGAAGCGGAATGAAGAACTGATCAATGAGTTAGCGAAAGAACGGCAAACAATTGATGATTTGAAGGTTGGCCTAATTATTTGTGTAATCCTAAGCATCGTTGTTCTGCCAAATTCTGTGAAGGATTTGGCTGAAGGTATCGAAAATTTTAACGGATTTTATCAGTAGCGTAACTTGCCGTGGTATATGTACAGTGATCATCCCTTGGCAGTCGTGATATTTCTTCGCTATGTCAGCCTAGCAAAAAATTTTCGCTGAATACTGCTCCATGATTCATTTATGACAAGAAAAGTCTGGAAAATGTTATCGCAACCTTAAAAGTTTGTAGATTGAACTAGTGTGCATGCCCTACTTGTGTGTGTGTGGTGGTGTGTGTAAGCGTAGAAACACTTAATTTTAGATTTATGTTTATAATTATATACGGAAACTGGGGTTATGCAACGTAAAGGGAATTAGAATAAATAATAAAAAAAGATGGCAGGGTTTTGTAGCGAAACTATGATTCTGCATAATGGAGATGGTGAGGAGTGTTTTTATACACCGTTGCACACAGATCACAAAGACTGCATAACTGTAACGGGGTAGGTTGCCCGAAGATTGAACCAGGGACCAAGGATGTTGCATCATAGTGATGCAGTTGCTCCTTACGCAATTTTTAACAAAAAGCCATAAATCATTATGTGAAATACTATGTGAAAATGTACTGCCTGAATTGTCAGTAGAAACTAAAACTCTCGCTGAAAGCGGCAGATTTTTAACGATTGATTCAAAACTCTCATGTTATAATTTGTAGAAAGAGCTTGGGAATGAACTTAAATCAGCCAGTATCCAAATAGCATTCTTGAAAGAAAACAGTGAAAAAGCTTTGAAGGAGAAAGATGTCCTGCTGGGGGAGAAGAATGCCGAGCTGGAAATTTTGAAGCAGCAATTCAACGAATTGAACGAAAAGTTTGCTTTTATTTTTGTATTTCTAGTTATAGAAAAGCCGGTTTTGTTGGGGGTATAAATTTGAACTGCATGGAGAATCATCGTTCAAAAATGATAGTTTTTATTGTTGATAATAATGATGATAATAATTAACAACGTTGATAATTTTAATTTCATTAGTTTTTTTCCCCGGCCATTTGTTATAATTTTTTTTTCGTCAGGCTTCTAAATTCAGTTTAAACTGGTTTAGACTCGCAGTAGTAGTGGTTGAATATAATTAGCACTGTTCGTTCCCCTGTATATTGTATGTGGTATTTTTATAAATTCCTTACTGTTCCCCCGTTTACTACTTGCTTGACCTTGACCCTCATTGTTCCTGTTTAGTTTTATCCCAAAAGCTGTTCTTTGTCTTTAGAATTTATCAGTTCTGTAAATTTCACCAGGCACCTATTCATCATTAGCTTGCTTGTAAGCAGCCGTCGAAAGAGGTGTCGATGAGTTCCTTTTTTGTGGGTTGCTTAGAATGAAACTGATGCCAAAATTGACTGGCCATATGCCAGTACCAATTGAGACGAATAGTGGAAGGATTGGTTTTTGGAGTGAAATCCATAAAAAAAATCGTGGGAAGATTGGTTTTTCGCCAGTGAAGTGAAATTCGCATTCTCTACACGACAGCAGTGCTTTTTTCCACTACGCCATGTTCGATAATCGAAATTTTGATCGGATGTTCAGCAATACTTGGTCAGTTGGACTTGTCATCCGCACATACATATCATGTTTTACATTACATGCAAACAGATATGCACAGTTGTAAAATTGTGCAGAGAACAAGGATGCAAATTTTTCTACCAATTGCGTTTAAGGGAGATGAGAAAGAAGGGGGAGGGGATATGCAAATTTTACATCTGCACAGCTCATTGGTCTTTTTATACGTTTAAATTGTTGGTCGTTTTGAAGCAGATTATTCCGTAGAAAGCTGAAATGCGGGTGTTGTGCTGCATTCGTTCGAGGCCAGGCGGCTCCTATCCCAAGTAACTGCTTTAGTACACAATGTGGTACTTTGTCCAGGAATGCACCGGGTAATATGTTTAGTTTGTTCATCCTTCCTGTGTTATATAAGCATTTTAATAATATCACAAAATTATATTATCTATGATCTATGGTAATATAATTTTGTGATATTATTGAAATGATAAGACTGTAATGATAAAACTGTAATGATTATTATTAAACTAAGAAAAACTGTAATGATGGAAAGTACCAGGTAAATTTTTCACAAGACTATTTTTATCCTAATTTCAACAAGCTTAAATTGTTAAAATTCCGATTTTCACGAGATTTTCTTAGGAAAATTAAAATCTTCAAGGCGTCATTGTCGCTTTTCCATGATAGTAATATTACCGGGATGCTTTCGTAGGCCTAGCGCAACTAATTCAGGCTTATCCTGAGCTGCATACCTCCAGTCAATATGCATCGCTTGTTCGATGTATATACGCCAACTGTCCGAGAGAGTGGTTGCTTTTTTTCCCGATTCCTTCAGTTTTAGGCTAAGCGAACAACACTCCCTGCACATCGGGTTTAATTTCACGTTTAGTCACAACGATATCTTGCACGCCGCTCATCTTACGGAGAGTCTGATTGTTTATATGGTCGTGAAGACATTCATTGTTTATATTGAAGGCTCTGGTTGTTTATACGTCTTTTGTTTCATCGCTATTTCTATTACAGAATTGTAGATGGAGTATTTTTGGCAAATTTTTTAACATTTTTTTTAGAGATTGGTTATTGGTATAAAATTTCTTACCTATTACAAATATTTCCTTTGTCCACTCTCCCCATCTTCGCTTTTT